GAGTGACCCCTGAGTGACACCAGGTACTCGCAGTAGTGAGGGCTGGGAAGAGGCAGAAATGGCAGAAAATGGGTCAAAAATGAGGGAAAAATGAGGGAAAAATGAGCAGAAAATGAGGAAAAAATGGCACAAGAATTCCCATGAAAAATGAGCCCGAAATGAGGCGAAACGAGCCAAAAATGAGCAAAAAATGAGCAAAAAAATGAGCAAAAAAATGAGCAAAAAATGGCACAAGAATTCCCATGAAAAATGAGCCCGAAATGAGGCGAAACGAGCCAAAAATGAGCAAAAAACGAGCCAAAAAAGAGTAAAAAAATGAGCAAAAAATGAGCAAAAAAAGAGTAAAAAAATGAGCCAAAAATGAGCCAAAAACGAGCCAAAAACGAGCAAAAAAATGGCCCAAAAAAGAGTAAAAAAATGAGGAAAAAATGAGCAGAAAATGGCACAAGAATTCCCACAAAAAATGAGCCCGAAATGAGGCGAAACGAGCCAAAAATGAGCAAAAAATGATCCAAAAATGGCACAAAATGACCCAAAAATGACCCAAAAATGGCACAAAATGAGCCAAAATGCCACAAAAATTCCCCCTAAAAATGATCCAAAAATGACCCAAAATGACCCAAAAATGACCCAAAAATGGCACGAAAAACCCCATAAAAGTGATTGAAAATGACCCAAAAATGACCCAAAAACGGCACCAAAATGACCCAAAATGGCACCAAAATGACCCAAAAATGACCCAAAAATGACTGAAAAATGGCATTAAAATGACCCAAAAATAGCACAAAAATGAGCCCAAAATGAGCCAAAAATGAGCAAAAAATGACCCAAAAATGGCACAAAAAAAACCCATAAAAGTGACTGAAAATGACCCGAAAATGACCAAAAATGACCCAAAAACGGCCCAAAAATGATGCAAAATGACCTAAAAATCCCCTAAAATTGACCCAAAATGTCCCAAAATCCCCGGAATTTGCCCCAAAAATGATCCTGAGTGACCAATGAGTGACCAACAAGTGACCACAACCCCAAAAACGCCTTAAAAACGACCCAAAAAACACCCTAAAAATGCCCCAAAAATCCCCTAAAAAAGACCCAAAATCCTCTAAAATTGACCCAAAATGTCCCAAAATCCCCTAAAATTGACCCAAAATGTCCCAAAATCCCCTAAAATTGCCCCAAAAATGACCCTGAGTGACCAATGAGTGACCACAACCCCAAAAACACCTTAAAAATGGCCCAAAAATCCCCTAAAAAAGACCCAAAATGTCCCAAAATTCCCTAAAATTGACCCAAAATGTCCCAAAATTCCCTAAAATTGACCCAAAATGTCCCAAAATCCCCAGAAATTGCCCCAAAAATGACCCCGAGTGACCAATGAGTGACCAATGAGTGACCACAACCCCAAAAACACCTTAAAAACAGCCCAAAAAACACCCTAAAAATGCCCCAAAAATCCCCTAAAAAAGACCC